GAATTGTTAAATGTTGATGAAGATAGGGAAGCTGTGATTTCGTGTATAGGGCAAGGAGGAATAACATCTTGTAGGAGTGAGGAAGAGCCAGTTGTGAGTGTGGGGAAGTTCGTGAGGCAGTAGGTAAAATGAAAAAAGGGGTAACGGCAGCCGGGATTGATGGGATAAAGATAGAAATGTTAAAAGCAGGTGGGGATATAGTTTTGGAGTGGTTGGTGCAATTATTTAATAAATGTATGGAAGAGGGTAAGGTACCTAGGGATTGGCAGAGAGCATGCATAGTTCCTTTGTATAAAGGCAAAGGGGACAAAAGAGAGTGCAAAAATTATAGGGGATAAGTCTGTTGAGTATACCTGGTAAAGTGTATGGTAGAGTTATTATTGAAAGAATTAAAAGTAAGACTGAGAATAGGATAGCAGATGAACAAGGAGGCTTTAGGAAAGGTAGGGGGTGTGTGGACCAGGTGTTTACAGTGAAACATATAAGTGAACAGTATTTAGATAAGGCTAAAGAGGTCTTTGTGGCATTTATGGATTTGGAAAAGGCGTATGACAGGGTGGATAGGGGGGCAATGTGGCAGATGTTGCAAGTGTATGGTGTAGGAGGTAGGTTACTGAAAGCAGTGAAGAGTTTTTAATAGGATAGTGAGGCTCAAGTTAGAGTACATAGGAAAGAGGGAAATTATTTCCCAGTAAAAGTAGGCCTTAGACAAGGATGTGTGATGTCACCGTGGTTGTTTAATATATTTATAGATGGGGTTGTAAGAGAAGTAAATGCGAGGGTCTTGACAAGAGGCGTGGAGTTAAAAGATAAAGAATCACACAAAGTGGTGACACTGTGCTCTTGGGAGATTCTGAAGAGAAGTTGCAGAGATTGGTGGATGAATTTGGTAGGGTGTGCAAAAGAAGAAAATTAAAAGTGAATACAGGAAAGAGTAAGGTTATGAGGATAACAAAAATATTAGGTGATGAAAGATTGGATATCAGATTGGAGGGAGAGAGTATGGAGGAGGTGAATGTATTCAGATATTTGGGAGTGGACATGTCAGCGGATGGGTCTATGAAGGATGAGGTGAATCATAGAATTGATGAGGGGAAAAGGGTGAGTGGTGCACTTAGGAGTCTGTGGAGACAAAGAACTTTGTCCTTGGAGGCAAAGAGGGGAATGTATGAGAGTATAGTTTTACCAACACTCTTAATTGGGTGTGAAGCATGGGTGATGAAAGTTGCAGCGAGGAGAAGGCTGGAGGCAGTGGAGATGTCATGTCTGAGGGCAATGTGTGGTGTGAATATAATGCAGAGAATTCGTAGTTTGGAAGTTAGGAGGAGGTGCGGGATTACCAAAACTGTTGTCCAGAGGGCTGAGGAAGGGTTGTTGAGGTGGTTCGGACATGTAGAGAGAATGGAGCGAAACAGAATGACTTCAAGAGTGTATCAGTCTGTAAGTGGAAGGAAGGCGGGGTAGGGGTCGGCCTAGGAAAGGTTGGAGGGAGGGGGTAAAGGAGGTTTTGTGTGCGAGGGGCTTGGACTTCCAGCAGGCGTGCGTGAGCATGTTTGATAGGAGTGAATGGAGACGAATGGTTTTTAATACTTGACGTGCTGTTGGAGTGTGAGCAAAGTAACATTTATGAAGGGGTTCAGGGAAACCAGCAGGCCGGACTTGAGTCCTGGAGATGGGAAGTACAGTGCCTGCACTCTGAAGGAGGGGTGTTAATGTTGCAGTTTAAAAACTGTAGTGTAAAGCACCCTTCTGGCAAGACAGTGATGGAGTGAATGATGGTGAAAGTTTTTCTTTTTCGGGCCACCCTGCCTTGGTGGGAATCGGCCAGTGTGATAATAAAAAAAAAAAATAATACATACAAATAATATTTTTACTTACCTTTATTGAAGATTGGTGATGGCATCTGGAAGATAGGGAGGAGGAGAGAGGGAGTTGGGGTTAGTGTTTGGAAGGAGAATCCCCCTCCATGAGGACTTCAGGTAAAGCCCTCTCTGGGGTTACTTCCCTTCTCTGTCTTTTAATGCCACTAGGACCAGCTTGAGAGTCGCTGGACTCCTGTCTCACAAAATAACTGTCCACAGTCCTCTGTTTCTGGCGCCTCTTTAACATTTCCCTAAAATGGGACATGGTTCTGTCACTGAACTTGTTGCAAAGATGGTTTGTTTCAGTTTGCTCAGGATGGTACTTCTGCACAAACATTTGGACATCATTCCACTTGGCACAAATCTCCTTAATCTTTGAAGAAGGCACCTCATCCACTCCCTATATTAACACCTTTCGCAACATCAGCTTCCTTGATTTGTTCTTTCTTTGACAGGATAGAACCGATGGTCAACTTGTTTTTCCCATACATCCTGGCAAGCTCAACAAGTCTCACACCAAACTTATACTTCTGTATTATTTCCTTCTTCACATCTATGGTGTTTCTCACTTTCTTTACCACAGGGGTACCACTAGCAAGTTTCTTTGGGCCCATGGCAGCTTATTTCACAGTCCCACAAGCACTAAACACAACGAAATAATCGTAAAATGCGTGAATGAGGGCGCAGGTTAGTGTTCACTCAAGCATAAACAAAGCTAGACTGCTCACGGCGCCTGTGCGGGGACGCGGACAGAGCGGGCCGGCAGACAGGTCCCCGTACCCGGCGGTCCGAAAATAGGGGCGCGTTCGATAATAGGGATACAGTTTGTCCGAAAAAATGGTCCTATTTTTGAAATGTTCGATATGTGATACGTTCGATTTTTGAGGTTCCACTGTATGTGTGTGTATATATATATATATTTATATTATATATATATATATAATATATATATATATATATATATAATATAATATTATTATATATATATATACTGTATATATATATGTATATATTACTAAAATGTAAAAGGAGAAACTTTCGTTTTTTCCTTTTGGGCCACCCCACCTGTGGGATACGGCTGGTACGTTGAAAGAAAGAAAGAATATATATATATATATATTTTATATATATTTATATATTATATATATTATATATATTTATATATATATATATATTAACACACACACACACACCACACAAACGTGTATATACAGTGGAACCTCTACTTGTTAGCGCATCCACGTGGGAGTTTTTCCAAATACGAGCAGTCGATGGGTCGATTTTTTGCTTCCATACGTAAGCAAAATTTCCATAAGCGAGCAGACCTCAAGGCAGGTTCCTTGACGCTGGTGAGGGGCTCTTGCTCTTGATCTAGGGAACTGTATCTCATTTGTTTGTTGGATTATCTTATTGAAACTTGGGCAATGTATGATGGAAAGATGCTTCTTAGTGTACACCAAAAATGAAAGAAATCTAAGCATAAATAATGGAGTTCACTTCTCAGCAATTAGCCACCCCTAAGCAGTATTTTCGTATGGTTTTTATGGTTGTATTCTCATTTTTCTGGTCTCATTTGATAGAATGAAAGATATCTTTCTTTCAACACACCGGCCGTATCCCACCGAACCGGGGTGGCCCAAAAAGAAAAACAAAAGTTTCTCTTTATAAATTTAGTAATTTATACGGGAAAGGGGGTTACTAGCCCCTTGCTCCCGGCATTTTAGTCGCCTCATACAACACGCATGGCTTACAGAGGAAGAATTCTGTTCCACTTTCCCATGGAGATAAGAGGAAACAAGAACAAGAACTAGAAAGAAAATAGAAGAAAACCCAGAGGGGTGTGTATATATATGCTTGTACTATATGTATGTGTAGTGTGACCTAAGTAGAAGTAGCAAGACATACCTGAAATCTTGCATGTTTATGAGACAGACAAAAGACACTAGGAATCCTACCATCATATAAAACAATTACAGGCTTTCGTTTTACACTCACCTGGCAGGACGGTAGTACCTCCCTGGGTGGTTGCTGTCTACCAACCTACTACCTAGGAATGGAAGATCTATTACAGAAATAGATATGATTTTGATTGCTTTCACGATGAAAAGTAACTTGAAATTGAGCTCAACGTAGGAGAAATGTTCAATTGTTTTGGCTATGCTCAAGAGTAAACACATGATGTCACTGTCCATTCCAATATTCAGTCATGAATGGGTTGACATTTATACAATTATTGCAATAAGGCATAACAGTAACTCTTACATTTTTTGTGTGAATAAAAATTACAAATTATTTATATTATAATAATAATAATAATAATAATAATAATAATAATAATAATAATAATAATATGTATAATAATAATACGTATAATAATAATAGTATAATACAATAATACATGTAATAATAATATATATAATAATAATGTACTACGTAATAATGATTATAATAAGACGGCTTCAAAAGGCCGTCACTAGACGGCAGTGTTTACCACAACAGAGGGAGCGGTTGTGGCTGCCTCCACCTGTTACATAATGACATATTTTATTCATTCTAGAGTACGTATATATCAGGTTTCTATGTTATTTATATTGTTTATTATTTCATATTAGATAAACTGTGATAGATAAATAAGCCGTAGAGCTGATGATAGCGAAATATTCAAGGAGTATTTTGTCCTGTCTCCAGACAAACTCGTCTGCCGCCGACACCAACCATACAACTATATGAATTACATATTTTATTCATTTTAGAGTATATATCAGGTTTCTATGTTATTTATATTGTTTATTAAATGAAGTGAGATAGATAAATAAGCCGTAGAGTTGATATTAGCAAAATTATTGAAGTACAGAATTCCACTGGAACGGATTAATTGCATTTCAATTAATTTAAATGATGAAAATTGACTCTGTAAACGACTAAATCCAGTTGCGAGCAAGGTCATGGAACGAATTAAACTCGCAAGGAGAGGTTCCACTGTATATACATTTATATATATATATATATATATATATATATATATATATATATATATATATATATATAATATATATATATATATATATATATATATATTATATATATTATATATATATATATATAATATATATATTAACATATATATATATACTGTATACTAATATATGGGATTATTACTCTCTTCTAAATAGTTCTAAATTGTAAAAACAGAAAACAATAATCATCAGGAATCTGTCAACTTTCCATTTTTTGTTATACCAGCATTTTGGCTACCAGCTGAGTTCTTGAATCGGTTCGCCAAATGCTGTCCTTGAACTGAGCGGGAATTTCCAGGACTAGCATGTTGTGAATTGTTGGTTATGTGGTTGTAATTATTAGTTTGTGGTACACTCAAAGGAGGCTCACCCCCCTGGTGGCTGGTTGTATGACCATCCATTGCTGGAGGATTCCAACTTCCAGAATGAAACTTGCCATGACTGGAGTTTTCTGCAGCTCGTTGGTAGGACGACTGAGAGGATGCTTTGCGCTCGTTGCTGCTGGCTTTACGCTCACTGCTTGTATTAGTGTGGAGTCGCTCGATGGATTCGGAAAGCTGAGCAAGTTTTTCCATGAGTGTTCTCATGTTGTCATGGGAAGTTCTCAGTCCTTCTTCAGACAAAGGAGGGTAAAGATCCTGGAAGTAGTAATAACAAAAAAAATACAAAAATTAATAAAACATAAGTAAAGTCTGGTAGCCTATTCATTTTTCTCGTATCTCCACATTTCTTTCCCTAGTTTTCCATTTATTTACCTTGTGGCAGTTTGTTTCTTCCCTTTTCATACTCTTGCGCAAAACAAAATAATGACAATTTTACTTCTATGACAGCCTAGTTAGGGAATCCAGTGGTTGAGCAAAGAAATCACATAACAGGTGGAGGCTTGAACACATGACAAGCAAGTCCTCAAACTCACAGGCCAGTGCATTAACCACTGGGCAAAATGGCTCTCATAAGATTCATCCCACTAGGTATATTTCTATACACCACAGAGAGGGTAGTTTCTACTTCTAATTTGGTTTAAGATATTTTCTGCTATAAAACTACAATGTACATCCTATAGCAGTCCTCAATATAGCTATAGTGCCGTATATGAAGTGTTGCACGGCAGAAAAGAACTAGTGCCACCATAGTCAAAATCTGGGTTGGTGAAAGAATTGATTTCTTAATGTTTCTTCTGTGGATATGTGTAGATACTGTCTACTGCATCTGTAAGTTAGGTTCAGAGCCCCATAATAAACTATGGTAATTTGAGCTTCATAGCTCCACTCTCCCCTACGCCTGCATTTTTATTTATTGTTAGGATTTGATACTTATTCTTCTCTGCCATGCATCACTTTATGTATCTCCAGTGGCAGTTATAATATAGAAAGCTTTCTACATTATAATGACCAGCAGTTCTCTGAAAAAAAAAACAGTATACATCTCAGCAGTTTTCTGCAATAAAACTTCAGTACAGCACACATCCTGAAGCTTTATTCAATACAGGTGTTCTTCAATTTATGTTGCAGAAGTGTTCTAGATCCTTGGCATTAGTACCAAGCTCAATTAAGCCATAAACACTTAATTATGCATAAAAGCCTTCAATATGCTTTTGGAGCTGAGCCAATCACATAAGACAGCAAACACTGAATTACTGACAGAAATTGGACATCATACAGTGCTAGTCATGGCATTATGCTGGGTGAGCGCCCCATCATAATGCCGTGACAAAAATCAAAGGAATACCATATGGAAGGGGGGTCTTTTTTTGTCAGTGCATTATACCAGGTACCAGCCATTAGCATGATGTCATGGCCTGCCACCACATTCCACAGTGACTTCTCAGTGCTCACATGGCTGCCATGGTGAGAGGAAGCATTGCACTTTTGTCTCTCATCTGCCCCTACCTTTTGTCCGGTGTTCCCTTTGGTTTTGGGGCTATACATGTTTGATTATGGGTAAAAGGAAGTCTTTAACACCTGAAACTATAGCTCAAATCATAAGGCTTCACAAAGCTGGGCACCAGATGAAAGAAACAGTGGAGAATGTTGGTGTGTGTGAGCATTCAGTGAGGAACTGGGTGCAGTATTTCAAGGCTGGTGGCGGTGTCGAGTTAACATCTGCCAAACCTTAGATTGGCCCCTCGAAGAAATATGTTTGTACTTTACCTGTGTTAAAGAATCAGTTAGAGTGTACACCTAAGATAACTGCTAGAAAATTGAAAGAAAAGAACTCAGATCTTCTCTCGTAGGTGTTTGTAACAACTGTTAACAGACGTGTGTCAGAACTGGGCTACGGTAGTCACTGCCAGGTTAAGAAACCGATCCTCTCCAAGCCACAGAAGAAACGTAGACTGGATTATGCAAAGAAATATCTTCAATGGAATCCTCAACAGTGGTCTGAAGTACTTTGGAGTAATGAAGCAACCTTCACCCTCACCTGTAACTGTGGGGGACATGTGTACTGGCCCAGAGGTAATGACCTGCTAGACCCACACTACACCTGTGAGCAGGGCTGTATTACCGCATAGGCAAACTAGGCATTTGCCTAGGGCCCCGCGCATTTGGGGGCCCCGCGGTCCAAGGGGTTCAGGGGCTCATCCAAGACTGCGCACATGGTGCAAGTGCAAACCTAACCATAGATGGCAACACTCAACACACCTTTGTTTACATCAGAACAGCTGTGTTTTCCCGCTAATGGGTGAGTATGGGAGATTCCTCTCCAATTTTCTGTAGTTTATATGATTTGATAGTCTTATGCATGATGCAATGATAGCAATAATGGTCAGTGATTTATAAAGGGAATAATAGTGCTGTAGTGGTTATGCTGAATATAATAGGTACATGATGTCACTACTTTAATAGCCTAATCTAGTAATACTATGCTGTCTTGAGTTTATTCTCTTTAAAATGCATGATTTAACAAGATAGTTATAATGGCTGTTGGTAAATGGTTTTGGTTGTCTTGATGTACTTTCCCTATTAAATTTAATCTAAATAGCCAGAATGTATTTAATTAGACCTTAAACAGGCTCACACCGACCCCCCCCACCCCCAAGCTGGAAGGGGTCGCTTCGCTTACCCATAACTCAAAGGGGCCCCGCCAATCTGAATAGCCTAGGGCCCGGAGACTTCTTAATCCGGCCCTGCCTGTGAGACCACCAAACGCCCAGACTCGCTCATGGTTTGGGGATGTTTCAGTGCTCGAGTGTTGATGAACTCATTGTGCTTCCCAAAAAACAGTACATGAACCAGTATAATTACCAGGAGTTATTGTGTGACAATTTATCTTAGGCATTTGACAAGTGTGGGGCTACAGTTTTTATGTAGGATGATACACCGTGTCATACAGTGGCTTAAGGACTGTGAAGTTAGGTTCTTTAATGACTGGCCAGGCAATTCCCCAGACCTAAACCCTATTGAGAACCTCTGGTCAATAGTGAAACGAAGTTTACTAGCCAAGGATATCAGTTCCATCCCACGGCTGGAGGCTGCCCTACATGAGGCATGGAATATACCTCCCCAAACCCTCAAGAATTTGTGAGAGTCTTCCAACACGGCTGAGGGATGTGATTAAGCATAAAGGATGCAGCACCAAGTACTAAAACCCCAGTAAGTGTGCAAATATATATATATATTATAATCTTTCATGGAACAGTGGACCTCCCTTTTTGTTGATCTCCGTTATCGCCGATTTCCATTTTCGCCAAGTTTTTTTGTCAAAATATTGGTTCCATTTTCGTTGATTTCCTCCATTTTCATTGATAATAATAATAATAATAATAATAATAATAATAATAATAATAATAATAATAATAATAATAATGTTTATTTCTTTGTATAGGTTACAATGCATAATTACAATTTTGATTTGCTAAGTACAAAGATAGCCACTATCATGCCGAGGCATTTCGGGCAAACTAATCCTAATACACAGTAACTAATTATAACTAGATAAGATAATAGTACATAGTAATTATTACTTAAAGCTAAACATAGAATAGTGGTTAGCTGTTTTACAATCTTATTTGGACTTAATAAATCTTATGTATACTTAGTACAAAATCTAAGTTACAAGGAATGGTGCAGGTGGTAATATTTTATGGAATGGCAGAATTAAAAGCCGGGAGGTCACATGATAAAACTAGTCAGTAGATGTTTGGTTGATTTGGTTAATATTGTGAGATAAGATGATTTTTTAGCAGAGTCCTAAATTTATAAGTTGTCTGGGGATCCTTGACCTGTTCCGGTAGCGAGTTCCAGATCTTTGGGCCTTTTATGTGCATAGCGTTCTTGCACAGTGAGAGTCTTACTCGAGGGATGTTGAAAAGGGGTTCATGCCTTGTATTGTGACCGTGCATTCTGTTGTAACTGTCGAGGAGTAGTTTTAGGGGAAGGTTTACAGTGGAGTTTCAAGTTCTGTATATGTAGTAGGCACAATAATAAGAGTGTATGTCTTGTATATTTAGCAAGGCGAGTCTTTTGAAAAGTGGTGGGGTGTGCTGTCTAGCACAGGAGCTGGTTATCACCCACACAGCAGCTTTTTGTTGGATTATTAAGGGTTTAAGGTGATTGGCTGTGGTTGAGCCCCAGGCACAGATACCATAGGTGAGGTAAGGATATATTAGAGAGTGGTACAGGGTAAGGAGAGTCGTTTGTGGTACATAGTAGCATATCTTGGAAAGGATTCCTACTGATTGGGAAATTTTCTTGGCTATGTGATGGGTATGGGATGGAAATTTAAGATTACAGTCAAGGAGAAGACCTAGAACAAGTCCAGTGCCCAGCGCACACACAAAGCCGCCTCCCATATGCATTCTCAGGCAGAGTCACATCGTTTCTCAGTGAGTGAACATATCCTGCGAGGTCATACGAAACATTTCGTAATAATCCATTGTTTTTGGCACTTGTTTATTGTGACTACTAAATAAGCCACCATGGCCCCAAAGAAGGCTCCTAGTGCCAGTCCTTTGGCAAAGAAAGTTAGAAACACCGTAGAAATGAAAAAAGAAATCGTTGAAAAATATGATAGTGGCATACGCATTGCCGACCTCGGCAGCTCCATTGTGGCGAAGAGAAAAGAAATCATGGAAGCTGATGTTGCGAAAGCAGTGAATGCAATAGCAAAACAGAGATCCCAAACAACCGAAGATGCGGAGAAATTGTTGTTGGTGTGGATCAAAGAGAAACAGTCAGTGGGAGATTGTGTTGTGCAGTCGATAATTTGTGAAAAGGCAAGGCAGTTGCATGATGATCTCGTAAAGAAAATGCCTGCAACAAGTGCTGATGTTGGTGAATTTAAGGCCAGCAAAGGCTGGTTCAAAAAATTCAAGAAGCAAAGTGCCAGATCAACCAGGCTGTGATGGATATGTGGGGCAGCGGGCCTCCAGCAGCAACAGCCTGGTTGACCAGGCAAGCACCAGACGAGCCTGGCCCATGGCTGGGCTCAGAGAGTAGATATACTCTCGAAATTCTTCAAAGGTATATCAAAGGTAGGGTAAGTGGCATACACAGTGTCGTAAGGCATGGTGAGGGTGCCAGTTCAGACATTCAAAGGCTATGTAGAGGCTGAAAAACTCCAACCCCAACAAGTGTTCAATTGTGACAAAACAAGCCTGTTTTGGAAGAAAATGCCAAAGAGGATCTACATCACGCAG